CCTCCTCCTCCCCCTCCTCCTCCGCCTCCTCATCATCCTCCTCCTCAGCTTCCCATCTCTGTCTTCCCCGCTTCAGCCATCCTCTCCATCCTCCCCCTCTTCCTCATCCTCATCAGCATCAGTCTCCTTCTCTCCCACATCCTCCATCTCCCCCAGCTGGAGCACCCCAGCGCAAGGGCTCCTGGAAACCGTGTCCAAGCGGTCGCGGGGCCCCAAGAGACCCAAGGACGTCACAGAAGGCGCCAGACGGCCCAAGGAGGCCCAAGGAGGGGGGGGGGGGAAGAAGGAGGAGAAAGAAGAGGAGGAGCAGCAAAAAGAAACATTAGAGGGTAAGCAAAAGGAAACGGAAGCAGGGAGGGGAGGGGAGGGGAGAGGGAGGCGGAGGAGTCGGAGTAGGAGCAGCAGCAGCAGGGAGATGGGGAGGTGGAAGAAGGGAGGAAGGACGAGGGATGACGGGGAAGAAGGAGTGGGGGAAGGAGAAAGGAGGAGAAGGAGGACCGAGTGGAGCGAGAAAGTGAGAGGTGTAGGAAAGAGGAGGGGAGGCGAGAAGAGGAGGGAGAAGAGAAGGCAGGGGGGATGGAGGAGGGAGGAGGGAGGAGGAGGGTGAAGAGGACAGCAAGGAGAAGCACGGGGCTGAAGGCTGAGCACTATCGGTAACGAGCTATCCTGCCTGGGGGCTGGGCTGGGGGATCCTCCTCTGCGCCAGGCAGGTGCACCCAGGCTACCAAGGCTTGCCATTCTACACTTCTGAACCCCCAGACACCAGACAGAGGCTCCCTCTCTCCTGCCCAAAAAGACATCCAGGAAGCGACACGGAGGACGAGGGCCACGGAGCAGAAGGAAGACAAGGGCGAGTAGGAAGCTGAAAGCGCAGGCGCGGGCACGGGCGTCGACAGAGTCGGATGCACGATAGCAAGACACAGCTGAGAGTGGTAAGACACGCAATGGCGTCTGAAACCGTCTCACGTCTACCTACCCCACTACGGAAACGCCCCATTGGGGTCAATACCATTCTTCTCGAACCACCCCTCCTTCCCGAGCTCCTTGGCGTACTTGCACGCCATGTCGTAAGGCTCCCCGTAACAGTCTGACAGCTTCTTCCCGATGTACCACATGCATGACTGGCAATCTTCCCAGCACCAGTGGGCACCGTCCCTCCTATGCGGGCGCCCTTTGCAGAGATTGTAGCAGTTAGTCGACATGTTGTGCTTGGCCATCAAGTAGACGCTCCCGATGCAGGTGGCGCACGGCGTGGAGACAGGGAAATACGACTGGTAGCACGGCACAAACCCAGAAGTACCCGTCATATCCCAAGACCCACTAGCTTCGGCCCCCGTGTAGCACGACCCCGTCTTGAAATCCCCCGCGCGCATGGCTGGTGGCAGCTTCTTCTTCGCCTGCTTCAAGGCCATATCGTTGAGGATCGTCATGTCGGCGCTGGTGCACTGTGCTGTGCTACTGAGCGGCCAAGCAGACGAGCCACTGTAGGTGTCGCCGGGGCTCAGTGGCGCCTTCCACGGCCCTGCCAGATCCGAGGTCTCGGCGGTCTTGCGGCCCTGCCCGACGAGCTGCTGCTCCTCCTCCTCCTTCGCCCGCCCAACGAACTCAAAGAAGCCGCCGAAATCATACACTGGATCCTCCTCCTTGCCGTCTGCATCCACGTCTGCTCCATCCGAGCGCACACTCAGCTGGGTCGACACTGGCAGGAAGGCGAGAGCGAGTGCCCACCTGGAGCTCATCGCGCGCTGACAGGTTATCGGCACAGCAGGCCGAATGAAGTAGAGTTGAGCGTGCAGTTTGGTTTTCAAGCTTGTCTGAGCCGAAGTGGCTACTGAAGGAGAGAAAGTAACGTCAGCAGGAGCAGGAAAAGAATTTCACGGCGCTTTCTTCGAAATTCGCTGGCCCGACGGGCCACAAGGGTATCGGACTCGGGTCGGCACGGGAACTGAAAGAGCGCTTGAGGAACTTGCCCGAGAGGGTTCATGGCACCGTACACACTTGGAAACCTGAGCGTTGAGAGCTGTCTCACGGCACCCTCCGCTCGTGGGACCCTTGGTGTAAACCTTTGCCTTCACACTTCGAACTTGGGAGGCTTGGCGATAAAATCGTATTACATCACCGTTCGCGCTTAGGAGCCTCGGTGTCACGGGTTGTGTCCGTCACCGTTCATTATTGGAGTTAAGAGCTATTTGTGTCGCGGCTCGTTTTTGGGAGCCTTGGCGTCGAGAGCTGTTTACGTCACCGTTCGCTCTTGGGAGCCTTGGCGTTCAAAGCTTTCTGCGCCACTGATCGCTCTTGGGACCCTTGGTGTTCAAAGCTTTTTACGTCACCAACTCGTCGTGTAAAGAAGGTTTTCCGGTCACCTGGTGCTCAACGTCAAAGCTGCGTCCGTCACTGGGCCATCTGGGAGAGGGGGCCTTTGGGGGCCCTTTCGGGTGTCTTGGGGCCCTCTTGGGCCGTCTTGGGAGGCTTGACCCGTCTTGGGGCCCTCTTCGGCCCTCTTGGGTGCCCCCTGCAGTACCCTGGGGACTCTCTTGGGAGCCTCTTGGGAGCCTCTTGGGAGCCTCTCGGGGCCCTCTTGGGCCCTCTTGGGTCCCTTTGGAGCCACCTATGGTCCTCTTGCGGTCCTATTTCGGGCCCTCTTTGGGGCACTCGTGGGTCATCTTTGACGCCTCTCATGGGAGGGCACTCTCTGAGGCCCTCTTTGGGGCCCTCTTTGGGGCCCTCTTTGGGGCCCTCTTTGGCTCGTGTTGGGGCTCTATGTCGCCATCTTCGGGCCCTCTTGGGCCGTCTTGGGGCTTTCCTGGGAGCCTCCAGGACAATCTTGGGACAATCTCGGAGGCCCTCGGGGCCGTCTTCGGCCGATCTCGGCCCGAGAAGGCGATAACCATGAGAAACTACGAAAGCCATAGGATTCTCAGTGTTGTTGGCCTCCTCGAACTCTCTTGTTCGCTTGAGGACCTCTTGTCCGTCTTGGGGCCATCCTGGACCGTAGTGAGGCCATCCCAGGCCATCTTGGAATGCTCCTGGGCTTTCTTGGAGCGCTCTTGGGGCGCCGTGGGGTCCTTTTGGACCTCTTTTGGGCCGCCTGGTGGGTATCTTGGGCCGCCATTGGCGCCTTCTGTACCGTTTTGGGGCCCACTCGGGCCGTCGTGGCAGGGAGCATGCTGTTACATGCACTAGCACGGGAACGGAAAGAGCGTTTCAGGAACTTGCCCGACAGGGCTCATAGCCTAGGGGTTCGAGCTCTTTACGCCACCGTTCTCTTTTGGGAGATGGGCCCAAGGCAGTCCCAAAGTCCCATTCAGACGGCCAAGATTGCCCCAAGACAGCGGAAGATGCCCTCCAGACGGCCAAAGAGGCCCCCAAGACGCCACAGGAGGCCAAAATCGCGTTTTCTCCTCAGGTGTTCGCATGACTTTAGCGGTCTCGCCTTTTCGGGATTTCGACGCTCCAAGACGGCCCCATATGCCCCAAGATCGTCCCAATAGGCCCCCAAGTGGCCCGCAAGACAGCCCAAGACGGCCCCAAGACGACCCAAGAGGCCCCGAAGACAGCCCCCAAACGGCCCGTGTGACCTCCAAAACGGCCGCATCCGAAGGCCAAGATGCCCCCTAGAGGCCGCCAGAAGCCCCCAAGAGGCCCGCAAGAGGCCCCAAAGAGGCTCCCAGAAGACCCCCTAAGAGGGCCTCGAGAGGCCTCGTCTCTTCTTCCTCCTCCTCCTCCTCTTCCTCCTCCTCGTCATCCTCCTCCTAATCCTCCTCCTTATTTCCTCCTCCTCTTCCCTTCTCCTCCTCCTCCTCCTCATTTCTCTTCCTCTTCCAAATGTTCCCTCAAGTGGATCCAGAACGGCTGGGGGACGGCTGGGGGACACATAGGTCTATGGCTTAGCCAAACATCGGCCCAACGTTTGGCCACACGGGTGTTTCCGAAAGGCAGGGGGCGGCGGTGATTCGCCGTAGGCGTCTTCGATCCGCCGCCCCCTTCTGCTTGCAGAGGGGTGTACCACGTGCCGAATTTGGAACTGGCCCTTTGGGCCCTTCCGACAAGTTCCCAGTGGGGTCTCGGATCAACCTGCTGGGCATGCGGAAGAACTAGAAAGGGTGGGAGGCAAGGACCCTTTCCGCTAACGATGGCCACAAGAGTCATAGGAGCGCCTCCAACGTGGCCAAGATGGCCTCCAAGACAGTCCCAAGACCCCTCCGACTCGGCCAAGATAGCCCCAAGAGGGCCCGTGAGTTCACCAAGACGGCCCAAGATGACTCAAAGACGACCTAAAAATGCCTCCCAGACGGCCCAAGAGGCCCCCAAAACGCCACAAGAGGGCTCCAGAAGGACCTCCAGGAGGCCAATTCGTTGATGTTCCGATTAAGGTCTTGACCGCTTTTGCATGCTCGCCGTGCCGGGCCTCCGACAGAAGAAGACGCCCCCAGAGGCCCCCGAGACACCCCCAAGACGGCTCCAAAGCCCCCAGAAGGACCCCAAGACGGGCGAAGAGGGGCCCAAAACGGCCCAAGAGAACCAAGATTGTCCAAGAGGCCCCCGAGACAGCCCAAGACGGCCCCCAAGCGCCCAAAGTGGGCCTGAACACGGCCCAGAGAGGGCCCCCAAGGCCAAGAGGCCCCTGAAAGCGCCCAGAGGCCCACAAGATGGCCGCAAGAGGTGCCAGGAGGCCCCCAAGAGGCCTGTCAGAGAACCCCAAGCTCCTCCTCCTCCTCCTCCTCCTCCTCCTCCTCCTCCTCCTCCTCCTCCTCCTCCTCCTCCTCCTCCTGCTCCCCCTCCTCCCACATATCCGGACCGTGTTCCCCCGCCAATACGGTCCGGCCAAGCCCTCCCGGCCCCCCCGGGCGCCCCACGCGGCTGCCCGGGACCGTCTGCCGCTCTTAGTCCTGGCAACACGGCCGGCTGGGCCTCCAACGACCCCCCAGGGGGCCGCGGCGGTGCGGGGTTGCCAGACCAGGCTCCCAGCAACCTACCCCTGCGGAGGCTTGCTGGCCCTCGATCGAGCTGGCCTGGGGCCCCCCCTGACCACCCAGCGTGTCTGAACCTAAGCGCGTGCGTCTGTACATGCGAGCAGCGTCATCATTTAGGGCAACGCGTCCTTGTTCCTGGCGGCATCGCGTCAAGAACAAGGACAACGACACCAGAAACATCGAAAGCTGCCCTATCTTATTGTAGCGGCGCTAAGTTTTAGGATTTGACGCCCAGGGCGTCGTTTCGTATGTGGGCGATCATCGATGTCACCCGTCGTCGCCATCCGTTGCCATTTGGGTTCAAAGAAGGTGTCTTTGCAAATACCGAGCCGACGGCAGTCAGTTGACCTCACTGGACAGGAATACAAATATGTTCTCGGTTTGCTTCCGATTAGGAGCCGAAGCAAGAAACCGTTCGTACCTTACACGACTACGAACATGAAGGCAGCAGTGGTTTGGATTGCAGCCAACAGGTGTAGGCCACCGTTGACTCTTGCACTCCAGAAATCAAACGGCTGCACTCAAGTTTATCTCCGAACACGGCAACTTTGTCTCCGAACAGGCTTCGGACTATACTTTCCCAGCTCAGTAATGTGAAGAGCAAAGACCGAGGCATCCCGCGCACGTGGCGCAAGGAGTTTTCAATGATGCTTGACATGGTTGCATATACTTCTGAGGAAGATCCAGGTTCGGCCTCGTCGAAGACGGGGACTCTCGCAATTAAGGATGAGGCTGCTGCGAACTCGGAGGACGACGACGTCATATGCTCGAGCACTCCACCTCGCAAACTTGCACCAGTTGTGGACTTTGAGGCACCTGTGGGCATTTACTCCAAGGATTCGTTGATGACCTCTTCGCACCCAGAGCTCCAGAAGATTTTGGAGAATGCCTTCCAGGACAAGAGTGACAAGCACGAGGACGCTGGCAAGAAACAACAGGCTCTTGACATCCAAGACTGCGGACCCAGCCTTCGAGAAGCAGATCGGGGGGATCTCCACCATATCGCTGAAGGGGCTCGTCACTGCACCCTCCGTCACCGTGGCCCCAGCGTCTTCCGCGGCTCTGACTCGCAAGCACACGGATGAGCTCAATAACAAGAAGCCTGCCAAGCCGAAGCCGAAGAAGGCGATGAAGGTGATGAAGGCTAAGAAAACTACAAGTGGCAAGCCAGCAAACATATCCTTCCGTACGTGGCGGAACCGCGGGCACTGAATGGTCTGGCACAAGGAGGTGATGATCGGCATGAACAACAGTACACGACAAGCCGAGCACCACAAAAAGGGCGAGCGAGATTGCGCGTGCCAAATCAGCTGAATACAGCAGACTGATGGCAGAGGATAAACTGCCTGATTGTGTTGAGGACTAGCTCGTGATAGTTGTTGAACATATTTTGAAAAGCCGCACGGGGGTTGCAGCGGCCGTAGAGCGTAACACAACTGATCGACATCATCATCATC